GATCGCCTTGGCGCCGCACACGCTCGTCCCACAAAATTGCGACATCTTCACGAGGGCTCCCGCCTTAGCGCCGCGCAAACTCTTTTGAAGAGTTTGCATCCGATTCCAGGATGCCCATGGCACACGTCCCAGACATAGTGCTGTGGCACGGTGTCGTCATGTCAGAGCGCAACAATTGCGTTGTGTCGTGGTGTTGAAATCCCAGGAACGGCGTTCTGGCACGAGTCGGGATCGTCGAGGCGCAACAGTAACGGTGATTCGCAGCGTTGGAGTCCCAAGGATGGTGTTCTGGCACGGATCGGGATCGTCAAGGCGTAGCAGCAACGGTGATTCGCAGAGTTGAGGTCTCAGGAATGTTGTTTTGGCACGGTTCCAGATGTTCAAATGGTTGTCTTCCAACGGGGTACTTCTCTCATTGGAAATGAGGGGGAACTTGGAGAGAGGGTTTATTGAAAGATCGTTGGTGAGACTTGGACTTACACTGGTCTTCCTCTTCCTTCTCCTACTCCTCCTCCATCTCCTCCTCCTCCTCCTCCTCCTCCTCTTTCTCCTCCACCACCTCGTCATCAGCTGCCTCCTCCTATTCATCCTGCTCATCCTTCTCATCCTCATCCTCCCCCTCCTCCCCATCGTCGTCATCATCAGCATCATCACCACCACCACCATCATCAGCATCATCAGCATCAGCACCATCATCATCATCAGCGTCCTCCTCCTGCTCGCCCTGATCCTTCTCGTCCGCCTCGCCCTTCTCATCCTTCTCCTGAGTTTCCTCCTCCTGCTCCTCCTGCTCCTCCTCCTCCTCCACCTCCTCCCCCTACTCCTCAGCATCAGCTTCCTCCTCCTCCTCTTCCTCATCATCTGTTTTCTTATACATAAATAACTCCTCCCTGTCGCACCTTGAAGCTGGTCGGAAGGGCGGGCCGGACGTTTCGCCTGAGACTTCCTCGCCACCTATGATCCTCAAGCTTGAAAATTACAGAAGATTCACGGATTGAGGGCGGCCCGCTTTCAAAATGTGGCTCTCGCCTTAGCGCCGCGCACTTTCGTACTAAGATGTTGTAAGGGTTTCACAGGTTGAGGGCGGTCCGCCTTCAAAGTGTGGCTCTCGTATTAGCACCACGCAACGATTTCCAGGATTCTCATGGTGAACGTCCCAGAAGCTGTGTTTTGGCACGCTGTCGGAAGGTCAGGGCGCAACCGTCACGTTGATTCGCGGTGCGAAGGTCCCAGGAACGGTGTTCTGGCACGAGTCGGGATCGTCAAGGCGCAACCGTAATGGCGACTCGGAGCTTTAAAGTCCCAGGAATAATGTTCTGGCACGGTTCCGGATTTTCAAATAGCTGTCTTCCAACGGGGCACTTCATCATCAAACTCCTCCTCCTCCTCCTCCTCCTCCTCCTCCTCCTCCTCCTCCTCCTGCTCCGCCTCATCCTCAGCGTCCTTCTCCTCGCCTCCTCGTCGAACATTTCGATCCTTACCCGGGGGTCTCGAGAGCGCTCACAGACGATGCCACACACTCAGTTCGGAGAGTACGGGCCGAGCCCACAGTTTGCCGTGCCATGGAAATCAAATATGTCAGCAGCGCTGGAGAAATAGTATCATCATCATCATCATCATCATCATCATCAGCAGCAGCAGCAGCAGCATCATCATCAGCAGCATCGTCATCAGCATCAGCATCATGATCAACATGATCATCAGTATCATCATCATCATCATCATCATCATCATCATCATCATCATCATCATCATCATCATCATCATCATCATCATCATCATCATCATCATCATCATAGGCAGCAGCACCATCATCGGCATCATCATCACCATCATCATAGGCAGCAGCACCATCATCGGCATCATCATCATCAGCAGCAGCAGCATCGCCATCATCAGCATCGCCATCATCAGCACCATCATGATCGTCATAAACAGTATCAGCATCAGCAGAATCATCATCATCATCATCATCATCATCATCATCGGTATCATCGTCGCCATGCAGCAGCACCACCAGCATCATCAGCATCATCAGCAGCAACAGCATAGCATCACCAGCATCAGCATCATCACCACCATCACTACCATCAGCGCCATCATCATCAGCATCAACAGCATCATCATCGCCACCATCAGCATCAGCATCATCACCATCATCAGCATCAGCATCAGCATCATCTAAAACCAGCATGAGCGTCGTCATCGCCATCGCCATCATCATGATCACCATCATCACATCATCAGCAGCATCATCATAAGCATCGTTAGCATAATCATCATGATCGTCATCATAATCAGCATCGGCATCAGCATCACTATTATCGTCATCATCCCCATCAGCATTTGCATAATCATCCACATCCTCATCATACTCACCATCCTGATCATCATCATCATCATAATCATCATCATGAGCAGCATCATCATCATCAGCATCATCATCATCGTCACCATCAGCATCATCATCTGCAGCAGTAGCGCAGCAATATCAGCAGAAGCAGCATCATCATCATCATCAGCAGCATCAGCAGCATCATCAGCATCATCAGCACCAGCATCCGCATCAGCAGCCTCAGCAGCACCATCATAAGAATCCTCATCGGCATCAGCATCATCATCAGGGCGCTGGGGAAGATCGAACATTGACACGACAGGCTCGTGTGGCCACGACCTGCGCGTTGGTCCCGCACGGTCCCCGACGCCGCGCAGATCGTTCCACCTCGGAGGATCGCGGCTCTCCGCCAGCGCAGATCGCTCGCTCCGGGCCACCAGCGGCGTGCAAGCTCGCACGCCCGCGCCGTGCTCGCCGCCGCGTCGAGGCGGCGCCAGCGTGCCGTCCGGGCCCACCAGCACTATCACTCTTCCCCCCTCCGCCACTGACTATGTCCTCCTCTTCCTGGCTGGGGAGGGAAGCGAGGTGGACCTGTCACTCGTACCCAGAGGAGTCTAGACGGGTCCCACCAGACAGACCTAGAAGGGCGTCTCGAGTGCTCTCGAAGTGGACCCGTGTGTAGCTACCCCCCCTGCAGAGTGGGGAGGGGTTGGGGGCGGGGGCGGGGCGCCTGGATGAGGAAGGGGTTTGGAGAGGGGAGGGACGCAAGATGCAGGCTGAGGACAAGCACCATTCCGTGAAGGAGCCCTGCAGTCGCAGCGAGAGAGAGAGAGAGAAGGCTGAGCGTGATGAGACACCCGCGCTCAGATCGGCAGGCCGAGCCAGAAAAGTTGAGCATGGAACGGACCGCCTGTTGCTGGATTTCTGCCGTCGGTACGATGTAGGGAGGGAGAGCGGGAGGTAGGGAGGGGGAGGAGGAGGAGGAGGAGGGCCTGCTGATCCCTCAGCTTCTTGAGCTCCCTCGCGAGCTTCTCGGCGATGCTCCTGCCGGGAGGCGCGTGGACGCACGAGACAGACCAGAGAACAGCCAGGGGCATTGAAACAGCTGGTGCCTTGGCTTCTCCCACTGGTGCTGCTGCTAACGCTGCTAACGCTGCTGCTGCTGCTGCTGCTGCTGCTGCTGCTGCTGCTGTTGCTGCTGCTGCTGCTGCTGCTGCTGCTAACGCTGCTAACGCTGCTGCTGCTGCTGCTGCTGCTGCTGCTGCTGCTGCTTCTGCTGCTGCTGCTATCGCTGCTGCTACTGCTGCTGCTAACGCTGCTGCTGCTGCTGCTGCTGCTGCTGCTGCTGCTGCTGCTGCTGCTGCTGCTGCTGCTGCTAACGCTGCTGCAGCTGCTGCTGCTGCTGCTGTTGCTCCCGCTGCTGCTGCTGCCGCTGCTGCTGCGCCTCTTCATCCTATCCTTCTTACTCCTCCTCCTCCTCCTCCTCCTCCTCCTCCTCTTCCTCCTCCTCCTCCCCCTCCTCCTCTTCCTCCTCCTCCTCCTCCCACGCCTTATCCTTCCGATCCTCCTCCGAACCCTCGCCGTCCTTCACAGAATATCCAACTCGTTTCTCCTACCCCACGTCCACCACCGTGCCGCGAAGCACTGTGTGGATCGTCCCCGGGTCCATCCAAAACCTCTGGATTGAGTCCGCGACTGCATTCAGAGGCGCAAGGACGATGTCCTGGAAGGTGTCGCGTGACTTGCGGGGCCGCTCGTATGACTGTCATTGAGACTTGGGGAGGGTTGTTGGGATCCCATGCGTCCAACATTGCCTAAGATGGCCTGGGAGAACGTCAGAGAACCCTATTGGGCAGATGTTGGCCCGTTGTGGAAGCCAGGTGGACAGCCCAAGACGCCAAAAGCATTGAAAATGCGTCGGGGCATTTGAAAGAAGTGCAAACGTCAACGATTGGGGTGTGAATGCAGCCTTTGGAGGTCCTCAGAAGTTCCAGGAGGCCGACGGAGGTCCCTTCGGTTCCGCCTCCTCCTCCTCCAGATCCTCCTCCTCCTCCTCCAACTCCTCCTCCACCTCCTCCTCCTCCTCCTCCGCCTCCTCCTCCTCCTCCTCCTCCTCCTCCTCCTCCTCCTCCTCCTCCTCCCTTCCTCCCAACATCCAGAGCCGAACAGGCGGGCGAGAAAGTCGAGTCCCTTCGTGCCAAGGAGAAGTCTCTGGCCAGGCCTCCAACTTGCAAGGGCTGGAACTCCACCTGTGCCCACCTGGAGCTCGCCAAGACGTCACTGGGGGCAGACGGCGAGGATGGCGATGCAGAGGTCACCCAGCAGCTGGAAACAGCCCTCGCGCTCGCTGCGAAGAAGAAAGCGCACGTTGCCGAGAAGACAGTTGTGCCGATGGAGGAGGAGGGGGAGGAGCTCAACGGCAGCGACCCACGCCCCGAGCGGCGCTGCAGCCCCCGAGGAACAGGGCGAGGACATCATCAAGCTCAAGGCCAAGGCCCCCCCCCCCCGGATATTGCAGCCAGCCTCAAGCAGGCGTCAAGGAGTCGGATGTCCAGAAGCATAGGCCGTTGCTGCATACGAGGATTGCTGATATGGCTGGTGGGTTTCAGTTCGGCATGCGGAAGTCGAAACGGCAATCTAAACCAACTTGGAAATACCAGGTCAAGCAAGCAGGTGTCATCACGTGTAACGCGAACACATCCAACCAGTTCGAGAAGGCGCCACACCAGCTGCGCTACCAGGCCGAGGCCCCTGTCGTCTTCGGCCAGGAGCTCCAGTTGGCGCCCAAGCAAGTGGAGCTGCTGTCGGCCAGGCTGATCAGATACGACTGAAAGGCTGCAGTGGTGCCCAGCGCACCGCGCACTGACCAAGGAAGGCATGAAGGCAGGTGTAATGATCGCGGTGCCAAGCCGCAGCCGCATGGGGATTACGTACCTGCCCGAGCTGATGCAGTGGAACGCCTTACCCAAGGAGTCGCCAGGAAGACTCTGCGTGGATTACGTCAACACGTGCCGTCGGCACGACATCGCAGTAGGCTCCGTGTACCCGTGGGTGTCGGAGGGGCCCTCAAACCGCAACCTCGCCATCATCAGCCGGTTCGGAGCGCTCATGGCTGTATCAGGCCGGCCGTGGGCGCTCGGCGGCGACTTTGATATGTCGCTCGAGGAGCTGCTGGACACAGGGATCGTCACCAAGATGAGGGGCCACCTGGTATACGACAGGAGTGAAGGCACGTGCAGGGGAAGTACAGGCAACTACTCTGCCAGGAACTACTTCACCGTCTCCGAACACCTGGTGGAGAACGAGCCCGAAGCTACTGTCATGACGGCGTTTGCGGCCAGGCCCCGAAGGCCTGTCATGACGAAGATGAGCCGCCGCGCGCCTGTGCCACAGGCCCTCCATCTCATCCAGAGAGTGCCCTGGCCATTGGTTGTGCCTGCGGGTTGCCCTGCACCTCCAGTCCAGTGGCCGCGTCCTCTCCGTCGGAAGTTCGCAGACCGCGAGACTCTGAACGCGTTCTGGCACGATCTCATGCATGCGCACGAGATGCACTGGAACCGACACCATTGCTTTCACTGCGACGAGCTGCTGGCCCACCGTGGGCATGGCAAGAAGGCTGTCTACAAGATGCGGGATCTGGTGCCCCCAGCGGTCAGGGCCAAGGGAGACCCGACGGCGCGAGCTTTGGCAGCAGAACGGGTGGCAAATCTTCTGCAGGACCTGATCCACATCGTCAGCAGGGACTGGTGTAAGGCAAGTGTTCAGGACACGATCCAAATCAGGTCCATCAGGGATGCGATTATCCAAAAGTGGGCCTTCGCTCCGCTCCGCCATTGTGCCGAGGAGCTGAAGATCCCGTGGTCCGACATCTTCGAGACCATCATGGACTGCATGAAGGAGCCGCAGAAGCTGTCGGAGCACCTGGAATACCTCCAATATTGGCAGCAAGTCGCGGCTAGCGAGGCGGACGAGGCGAGGCAGTGCGAGCTGAAGGAGTCCACCAAGTCCTGGCGGGCCCGGGTTCGCAGTCACAGCGAGAAGTCGGCGGGTGACCTGCACAAATGGATCAAGCCGAAGGTCCCGTGGGAGCCAATGGTACCCCCGAAGGCGAGCGACGAGTCGACAGCCCCCGAGTCGCCCACGCCCCATCTTGAAAAAAAAATGTTTCAGATAATATCCCTGTTTTTCAGAAAGTTCTCTGGTGGGTCTCCAGAGACGGTCCCCGCGGGCGCGACGTCCAAGCACGTCGCCCTGATGGACCCGCCGACGGCCGCCAACGCAGCGCTGCAAGAGTGGGAGGGCATCTGGCATCACAAGGTCGATTGGGCAGCGCCATGGTTCGAGCAGCCCACGGTGGACGAGCCCATGCTGCCGCCGATCCTTCGCCACCACGTGCTGCACTCCTGCAAGGCGTTCTCACCCCAGACGGGCCTGGGCGAGTCCAACATCCACCCCACGCTTTGGGCCCGAAGGCCTGCTGTGGGCCTCGCTGGCCTGACCAGCATCCTGAACTGCATCGAGCGCGGCACTGACTGGCCCGTCCCACAGCAGCGCATCACCTTCTGGCTGCAGCCCAAGCCCAGGGGCGGCATGAGAAACTGTGGGCCCCTCCCTGAACTCGTGCGAATATGGGAGAAAGTCAGACGCCCCGAGATCCAGAAGTTTCACAAACGGAATCCACGAGCCTATGACTGGGCCGCGAAAGGCCAGATCGGCCGAACGCGCGGCCTTGATGCAGGGACTCATGGCCGAAGGGTCGTTGGCGCTGGGCGAGGCCATTGCCGCCACCTACTACGACTTGCGGAAGTGCTGCGAGACGGTGCTGCGTTATCTGGTATGGCGTAGTGATGGCGTACGCTGGGGATTTCCAAAGCCTCGGCTAAGGGTCATCTTGCGGGTGCTTTCTTTGATAAGAAGACTGGTGCTGAATGGGTGTCACATCGAGGGCGATTTCTGGGCTCAGGGGATCGTGACAGGATCCATGTTCGGTCCGCTGTGTCTGTCCCTCATTCTCATCCGCGCCATCGACGACCTCTACGTCGCCAACTCGAGGGCGGACATGTGCTTCTACTTCGACGACCTTGCAGCGTCGCCCCGAAGCGGCGGGGCCACCGTGGCGGCGATCCACGCGAAGTTGACCGACAAGATCCTCTTCGTCTTCGAGC